AGGCCTCCCCTGCAACTCTGTTCATTATTCCAGAGCCAGGCAGCCGAGCTCTTCAGAGTGGGTAATTCCTTTAAGCTGCTGGGGTAAGGCTAGGCAGGATGAACTGTTAATTTTTGGAAGGTATCCACCCAGCCTGGGAAGCATGCTGAAACACTGTCTACCAAATACACGTCAGCTGGCCATGGGCATTTCTGCCTGTGTCCCAGCTACTTGGCTGGTGGGAGGATCACTGGAGCTGAGAGTTGAGGGCTGCAATGAGCCGTGATCACCCTGCACTCCAGCCTGGGTGACAGTGAGACCTGTCAATTAAAAGTAAAAAAGTCAAATTTAAAAAGAGAAAGTATCTACCTGACTATCGTGTGTGAAAAGTCTCAAGAGTCACTGCAATTTGTGGCTGACTAGGACTCTCTACCATTTACTTTTGTAAGGGTGCTTCAAGATTGAATATATAATAAGCACCTGATGACTACTGAACATAGAATATGAGTGATGCCAGTAACCACAGAGGCACAGCCCCCTTCCCACACTGTTCACCCACCCTTCCAAGCCTGCCAGAGACCCTCACCCAAATGATTGGCAAATTGGCTGCAAGCAGGTGTTTGATCTTTGGAGCCTTTAAAATATTAGTCAATGGGAGATTGCAGGAAAAGAGGATACCTTCCCTCAAAATCTCCTTTGGAGATTTACTGCAAGCATCTCAGACAGTTCTTTTTGTATCTAGAAAAAAAGCTACCCACAGGTAATAGATGCGCTGTAGCGTTTTATCTTAATGTTTGATTTTTAAAACTTACTCATTGATGATGGTGACCCCACTTGTAGTTTTTGTTTGTTTGTTGTTGTTGTTTACTATGTACTAGAAAGGAGTTCTTCAAAATTTGAAGTGGCGCACTAAGATAAGCCTGTAGGAAATGTGTGCGTTTGTTAGAAATGTATCTATCTGTTATGAGGCTTAGCTCACAGTTTTGGAATGAAGTCCCACAATCTGCCGGCTGCAGGATGAGAAGAGGAAAGCCAGTGCTATCATTCAGAGTCTAAGGCCTCAGAACAAGGTAAGGGTGGGACGTGCTGTGCAAGTCCCTGATCAAGTCTGAAGGCCAGAGAACCAGGAGTGTGGATGTCCTGGATGAGGCAGGAATGGATGACCCAGTCAGGAAAGGTCAAGTTACACCCTTCCACTCTGTCTTTTCTTCTCTCTGGGCCCTGACAGTTTGGTGGAATGCCCCTTGTTGCTGAAGGAAATCTTTGCTCAGTCTTCTGATTCAAAGGTGAATCTCTTCTGGAAATACCCTCACAAACACAATAATTTGCACCAGCCATGTAGGCATCCACTTAGCCCAGTTGAAGTTGATGCAGAAAATTAACCATCACATTATGCCACAGGAAACCTAGAATAGAATCACAATTAATTACATTGTGCCTATCGGAGAAAAAGCTTTGACTGCCACAAGATCATTCTTTAACCTTTCTCCAGGAATGACTAAGCCACAGGTAGAGAATGGGTAGGCAGAGTTTCCTGCAAGGAGATTCAAGGACAGGTAGATTCATAGACTGTGATTCATTGGCAGAAACATGCACACAATAAACAAAAAAAAGGTGAAGGTAGAAAACTTGAAGGTAGTCTTTAAATCTTTAAAAATATCATAAGATGAAACTCAGATCCCTCAATGCCTAAGGTAATTACAGAAAGATCCATGTGCCTGAATGCTTTCTCGTCAAGTTATTCTCTCTGGGCTGTTGCAGTGGCTCACGCCTGTAATCCTAGCACTTTGGGAGGCGAGGCAGGCAGTCACACAAGGTGGGGAGTTTGAGACCAGCTGGCCAATATGGTGAAACCCATCTCTAAAATAAAAATTAGCCGGGCTGGTGGTTACACCTGTAATCTCAGCTACTCAGGAGGCCCAAGAGGCAGAAGAATTGCTGGAGTTCCAGGTGGAGCTTGCAGTGAGCTGAGATCACGCCACTGCACTCCCAGCCTGGAGTGACAGAGCTGAACTCCATATCAAAAAAAAAAAAAAAAAAAAAATGCTATTCTCTCTACAGAGAGCAATCATTTATCTACAGTAATACCTGTATATATCCTCTTTTCTTGTGTGGTATAGAGATGCTCAAATAAAATAGCAAAACCAGAGAAGGAATTAGTTTAAACAGTCACTGTTATAAAAGAAATAAATTAGAAAAATCCACATGCCCAATAAATTAAGAATGACTAGAGCAAACTATAATTTATCCACAGAAATAATGATAGTCATTAAATGTTAGAAATAGAGCAGCACATGTATTTGCCAACATGTACAGATTCTTAAGTAAAATGTTAAAGAGAAAAAACTGTAGAACCTAAGAGTGTGTATGCACATCAGTCTCACCTATCCAAGAAGTAGGCATGAATACAGCTAAAGAGGAATTTGAGTGACACACTACGGTAAGCATATAATTTGTAATAACTTTATTTAGTGAGAACCTACTGCTCAGGGATTGTCTAAGTGATATGCAAACACCTGTAACATCAGTGAACAAGAAGAGACAAAAACACATCCCCTCATGACGTTGATATCTTATGAGGAAAAGCAAACAAACACAAGCACAAATGGTATAAGACTTATGTACGTGCTTTTCATTGAAGTGTAATGTCCACTTCTGCTTTTTGAGCCTTAAGTGTGTGTGCTACCCTGTGGGCTTTCCCTTGTATCCTCTTCTGGAATCACCCTCCCAGATAAGAAAACTTACAGCACTCCACCAGGCACCTTCAATGACAACCTTCCAGTTCTCACCAAGGTACAATCACCTGACCTGTGATACCATGGACTCATTTTCCCTCTCTGATTTTCGTGTAAGTGAGTAGAATTATTATCCCCTTTCTCCTGTGAATCCTTTGAACACATCGTAGAGACCCATCCATGTTTTAGCACATAGTATTACGCCGCGTTTATTTTATTTTTATTTTTTTTGGACGGAGTCTCAAGCTCTGCGCCCAGGCTGGAGTGCAGTGGCCGGATCTCAGCTCACTGCAAGCTCCGCCTCCGGGTTCTTGTCTCCTGCTGTCAGCCTCCCGAGTAGCTGGGACTACAGCGCCCACCACCTACCGCCCGGCTAGTTTTTGTATTTTTAGTAGAGAACGAGGGTTTCTGTGATGCTCAGGATGGTGTGATCTCCTGGCCTCGTGATCCGCCCATCTCGGCCTCCCAAAGTGCTGGGATTACAGGCTTGAGCCACTACGGCACGTTTATTTTTTATTATAGCAGAGTAAGTATTCCATTATATGAATGATGGAATTATGTTGATAAACCACAGTTCATTTGCTCATTCTTACTATTAGGGAATTTGGATTGTTTTTCAGTTATTAGCTCTTTAAATAAAGTTGCTTTTGGCATCATTATACCCGGCTCTTGGAATCCATTAGGACTCATTCCTGTAGGAGTGGGACTTCTGAGTCCTAGGTAGATGCATATTTAGCTCTAGTTGACACTGCCAGTATTCCAAAGTGGCTCTCCCACCAGCAAGGCATGACAGTTCCAGTTACTCCATAAATCACTAACAATTGTCAGTCCTTTCAATGTCAGCCATTCTAGTGGGGATACAGTAGGATCTACGGGTTTTAACCTGCTGTATAATGATGTGAGCATCTTCACATAAACTTGGCCATTTGGATGTTCATTTTTGGAAATGCCTGGCACAATTTCAGTCATCTTTTAATGGGTTGTATTTTTGGATACACAGTTTTTGGAGAAGAGATCTTTGTTGATTTGTAGTAATTCTCTACTGAGCATTACCTGAATTCTGACCCAAAAAAATCAACAACTATTCATGGTAACACAGCTTGGGAACTGCTGAGCTGGGAGGGCAACTACCTGGTGGAGCAGCTCACGGTAGAGCTTGGGTCTAGAGATCTAGAGCCTTGATGGAGTCAGACAGTGTGGAAGACAGATGAGTCCTCGTTCTCTGTGATGGGAATTCCACCATACAGGCATCTAAGACTTACTCACTGGGAACCTAGCTCTGCCTAACCATGGAAAGCACTGGATAATACTGAATATAAATAAATGAAGATCTAGGCCCAGAAAGAGGCATCCTTTCTATAGAGCACTGTGTGGCTTTCTGCTCTAAGGCGATCCAGAAAAGGATCAGAAGTTGGAAACAGGGCCAGGCGCTGGTGGCTCCGCACCTGCAAGTCCCAGCATTTGAGGATGCCAAGGTAAGAAGGATTGCTTGAGCTCAGGAGTTCCAGACCAACCTGGAAACATAAAGGGCACCATCTCTACAAAAAGTTTTTAATGCGGCTAGGTGTGGTGGCACTATGATCTCAACCATCTGGGAGGCTGAAGTGGGAGAATTGCTTGAACCCGGGACTGGATGCTGCAGTAGCTATGATCCCACCAGTGCCCTTCACCTTGGAAGCAGAGACCCTGTTTCCAAAAAAAAGTTAGAAACACCTTGCAAGCCCCATCATAATCTCTAGACCCAGCTGCATAGGATCACCCAGCCAGTCCTCGGAAGGAGCAGTGACAGACACGGTCTGGGCAGCCAAAACAAATAAGACAAGACTATATATAGCAAGTGTGGATTGAGGCTTTAATTTTGATCCAGGTAGGCCTAAGGCAGGGGGCCATGCTGCAGGGCAGACCTGTAACCAGTCAATGCTGCTCTTTCATACATGCAGGAACAACTAGGGCTGAGGCTCCCACCCAGGCGAGGGGCTAGGCAGGCCCCTCAAGCGAACACAACCACTAACAGGAAGGAAGGTCAGGCTGCGGCTTTGGTAGGAAGGTAATGTTGGGAGGGGGATGTTCATGAAGGAAAGTGGGTAGCTGAGGCTTTAAAGGGCCTGCATGGGACAGGGGTTTAGGGGAAGTGAGGAAGCCCAATAAAGTCTTGGGGGTAAAGATGGGAATAAACAGGAGAAAGGAATGGGAGGCAGGTGCTGGGATGCAGGTCCAGCTTCACTCCACAGCCTGGGCAGAGTGCTAGTATGAATCCTCCTCCCACCTCCTGGCAACTAAAAGGCATTACTTGTTGCCCCAGACAGCCACCCTTGTGTACAGAGGTTTTGGGAGGAAGCGGCTGGACTTCATGTAGGCAGAGATCTTCTCCAAGCCCTGAGATGGGGAAAATAAGGCCAAAGCAAAGTTCAGCTGCCACATACAGAGACTCAGCGTGTTCCCACTGCAGACACAGCAGGTCAGGGCCCTGGCTACAGCCTTTCCACATAGTCTCCAGTGCTGAGGCATCACACACAACTCTTAGGTCCTAGATCTGCATTCACTCTTCCAATTTCCTTGAAATAATGTCATACCATAATAACAGCTACCACTTATGAAGATTCTACACTGTGCTGGGTGGTCTATATCCAAGAGAAATTACAACATAAGCTTAGAAAATCCACTTGACTCTTCTGCAAGCTGAATCTATTATCACCATTTCTCATGTGGGAAACAGAGTCAATAACTACCTCACACTCAAATAGCTAGTAAGGGGGACAGAGCTGCAATGTAGCCTGGTTCTGTCTCAGTTCTGGCATCTTTCTGCCAAATTCCCATCCTCCCCAAATCCACTCAGGAGTCCTCTTGCTCTCTGACTGCACAACATTCTCCTGTTTAACAGGGAGGCTCCTGGCTTGCCTAGGTTTGCACACACAGAGGGGTCATCTGAAAATGTCCGTGCAGCCTGGAAGAGAGCCCAGATCTCACCCAAAGGACCGGCAAAACCTGGATAGAGAAGTGGGCAGGGTGTATTGGGCCAACAAAAGAAAGGTCCAGACCAGGCTCTAATCATTCCTTGTAAACCCAGAAAGTCTAAACCTCCCACCTGGTACACAGGCTAAATACTACTGTGCCCTAACCCACCTCATCCCCCAACCCACTACAGACCAGGCTGTATGACAGTGTGCTCTGTCCCGATCTTCCCAGGATCAAATGGCCGTGTAATTTCTAAGGATTCAGACAGAGCCAGGGCTGCTATTCCCAAGGCCACGCCCAGGTGGGCCATTATGCTGCAGCCCTCAGCTCTCCTCCCCTCCCACCACCTCTTGCCACATAGCCCCAAGGCCACTCCCAGCCTGGGCTGGGCGGAGCTGATGGAAACCCCAAGCTGAAGTAACAGATCTCTTGATGGGGAGTGGGAAAGGAAAACAAATTCTAGGCTGAAAAACTCGTTGGACTAATGCCTCAAATTCCCAAATCTGTACTAAACTAGGATTTGCTGCTCTCAAACAAGTTCAGCACGGGTGAGATGGTTCCCCATGGTGGGGGCAGGCCCTGGGCCAGTACCCAGGTGGTGCCACACCCACACCTCTGGGCTACTCTGCTGCCACGAGCCTCTCACCATATTTCAGAAGGATGGGCGGTCATCTATGCATCTCCACCACTGCCTCCCCACCTGCCTCATGCAGAGGAGAAGGTCGGCGAATAGGAGTAAAATCAGTGTGCTACTCATCTCACAGAGAACACTTAGAACATTGGAGAGAGAAAAAGGAAGAAAGATAAAGAAGGACACTGCCCCAGCACAGAGCACTTCAACACACACTCAGCAGCAGGGGCACCCACATATGTAGCCTAATCTGGCTCCAGCCACAGCTCTGGCTCTCAGGATTTTCCCTTGGGGGTCGATCGTGCAAAAAACTACTGGGGGTAGCTATGAATACCTGTGGGTTTCATATAGGCATTATTGCATGTGTCAGTCCTACTATTGCCAGCTGCATCCGCACTCCTAAAGTTCTCTGCCTCTTCCAAAGCGTCCTGGGCTGTGAAATCCAGGCTGGATGAGGCCTGAGGCTTTTCTTCTGTCACAAAGGAGAAGCCCTGACTGCTGCCCATAGATCCAGAGGCTCACAGGGAGCCCAGCACAGTCTCCACTGGCTCTGGGACCCTGAGCAAAGGCCTGACCCTCTCATTCTCAGTTTCCTTCTCTCTAAAATGGGCAAGATAATTCTGTCACCCTGTAGGAATGTTGTAAAGTTCAAATTCCACACAATAGGTATAATGTGCCAGGCACGGTTCCTGGCATGAAGCCAGCACTCAATAAATGCAAGTTATTCTTTGTGCAGCTCTAGGACTGGCAAAGCATCTCAAGGAAATGAACAAGGGAGCATCAAGAGAAAGGAGGATGGGGGCATCACCTCAAATCGGGAGATGAAGTCCTTCAGATTTGGGAAGGCATCCAAGCACTTCGGCTCAAATATCCCGGTGGAAGTCAAGGACATCATAGGCGAGGAAATCTACAAGGTGATCTGCAGAGGCCAAAATGTGGGCTGGAATCTCCGTAACATAGGGCATTATGACAAATCTAGTGTCCCATCACATGCCCCCATTACCTTGTCTCTAACAAACCATGGCCTCTTCCCCAGGAACTGTGAAGTGCATCATTGTAGGAAGTCCCTCCAAGTATTCTGGCTTCACTTTCACCCTGAGGCAGAAAACTGAAACACTACCGTCAAGACCAAGCTCCTGCACAGATGTGGCCTCCTAGTTCCTGCATGCTGGCCCCAGCTGTGTGAGCAAGCAGTTATCCCCACAGCCTGGGCAAGCTTCAGTTGGACATATCAGCATTTATTAGACTCCAAATGGGTAGCTGGAGGCTTTTGTGGCGATGGGAAGGCAGAGAGGAATGCAACACTATCCCTGAATCTGTCCCCACTGACCTCCCAACCACACTCCTCTGGATCAGCCCAGGAGCACCTGAGCACCTGGCAGGCTCTGGACAGAGATGGTGAATCAAGATACAAAGAACTAAAGGAGCTCAGAGAAAGAAGTTGAAAGTTCCTCCTAGTGGAGTGGCAGAATAATACAATGGACATTGAGTAGTTTCTGGAGAGATGAGATTTTGAGAGGCTGAGTGGAAGGAGACAGAGGAACAAAGGCCCTCTGGCCGCCACTGAGCTGCCTGTTAGGAAAATGCATTCATCCCTGTGCGTGTCAAGAAGAAGCACTAGGAAAAGAATAGCCACGGAATTCCACAGAGGAGAGGGGTGCTATTACTTCTCCTACGTCTTCTTTACCCCATGAATGTGGTCGTATTCCCCAAACAGGCAGATGGAGTGAACCACTTTGGGTTCAGATGGCCCATGGCAGAGTCAGTCCAGAGTAGAAATTTCTGAATCACATGACTTTATTGTCTTCGTGAACTGAATTTCTAGCTTGGATGTGAACTTCCTATGATTAGTGGGGACTAATTTCAAGTTTTTATTTTATGGTTAATGATATATCAGTCACTCTGCTACAGTACAGGAACCCTGAGAGAACCAAGAGCAGTGAGACCATTATGAATAGGACTAGAGTAGATGGGAATACAAAAGGCTGGCTTCTGGCCCAGACCAGGGAGGGACTCACAAGTCCAGGCTGCATAGCCAGACTCTGGCCAGCTGATTGAACGTCCATAGCCTGGTTCTCCAAAATGTCCACACGAATCTTCTCCTCTTCTGTCTCTCCACCTGCCACCCACTAAACATAGACTCACTCTGACATCGCACCCCAATCCAGCCAAGGAGAGGCCACCTTCCCCCACATGACAAACCACTCCACACAGGTTGTGCTTGGAGCAATAGCGCAGGATGGGCGTTATACCATTGATCTTGTGAGTCCCATCAATCAAGTAGGGCAGCTGGATGAATGGGAAGCAGGGAAGCTCAGTTGGGTACAGGTTCCCCAGCATCCCCTTCTCATAAAAGCGACTTATGAGAGAGACAGGAAGCCCTGGGCACTCACTGTGCCTGCTCATGGCAGGCCTGAGATAGAAATACTGTCATATGGATGAATGAGCTTGGACACAGAACATCATGGAAGGGCTGTGTAGGCAGCCAGGAGTGAGGGATTGGGCAGAAGACTCCTGATCCTAACCCTCTAAGCTGGGAGGAGATCACGGTCAGAGACACGTTGCACTTGCCCCCAAAACCGCCCCTTCCCCTGCACCTACATTGGGAAAGTCAGGCTAGCTTAGATTTTCATTCAGCCACTGGCTTCTGTCATAGTCAGGAGCTGTGGTGGAGAAGATGAGGTGAAAACAAACCTCCCAGAGCCAGCCCTCCTTCCCGGGGACCCTCCCCAAGAGCCAGTGGCAAGACCCTGAGACGGAGTGGACCTAGAATCTGACCACTCAGTCCCACATCCCAGGGTTCGAGAAGAAGATCTGGTGACTCTGGACCCCACCGACTAAGGCTTCCAGGAGTTTAAGGCAAATACAGAAGCGACACCCAACCCCAGTTACTGGAACCCAGGGGCCCAGCATCCCGCCCCAGCATTCTGCCTTGCAAGGAGCCAGAGGCTCCCTGCCCAGGGCTCAAGGAAGGGACAGCCTGCAGCTCCAGCCGAGAGAGGCCTGCAGAGTCAGCCACAGGTGGCCACCATGGGTTGCTTGGTGCCAATTCAGCGGGAGTGGGCAGGGCCGGACACGCGAGGTGCCATTACACCGTCCCCCGTGCCTTATATATGTAGCTTGAGTCTGTGTATTCCAGGAGCAGGCGGATGGCGTGGGCCAGCTGGGAGAGATGGCCGTGGCTCGAGTCAGAGATGGTGGGTCCTGACTTGGTGAATTTCTCTGCACCAGGCGGAGGCCCCCAGTCTACACTGCAACGCACCCTCGCACCTGCCCTTCTTCTTCCCCCAGTCTACACTGCACTGCACCCCTCTCCGCCTCCCTGGCACACACACACACACACACACACACACACACAGAGGCATGCACAGGCCACTCCTGTGAGAGATAGCCCTAAGAGGAACCGTCCCTAGAGCCAGTCCCCAGCCGCTCAGCACTTCCGCCCACGCGCTGGTCCCACCGTGCAGCGGACCCTCACTAACCCACCCGGATGTCCCAGTACCCCAGTGTCATGGACATGATGCTGGTTGGTGTGGATTCTGCAGACAGGACTCAGCTGGGCTGAACTGCGACTTCCTGTGGGGTTCCTGGCGTGCAGGGCGGGACCTGGTGCCAGGCCCGCCCCCTCGGCCCCGCTGCGCCCGCCGATCTTCAAGGTCGTCACTTCCAACCGGCCGATCTTCAAGGTTGTCACTTCAACCAACAGGCGCGGGGGGCGAAGATACTGGATCCTCGCGGCTCCGGAGGTAAGATCCACCGCCACCTCCAGTATTCCGGAGCTAACGACAGGAGGCCCTAGGAGGGCTGGACCTCGCCAGCTTCCGTAGCCCCCGCCCTGGGAGCGCCCCGCCCCTTACCCGCCCCCACCCCACCGCGCCCCGCCGCGCTTCAGAACTCTGCTGAGTCCCCAGGACTGGCTGCGCGCGTGACAGTCAAGCCAGATCCTAAGAGAAAAGTTCTTTCCCAGGTTCCTTCTTCTCCGGACGTGAAAGCCCAGCCTTCCGCCTCTCGGCTGCCAGTTCCACAGGCTCTGGGAAACTGAGGCTGCCAGAGTCAGACCAAAGAGAGGTCTCAGAGAGTTTAATTCAACACTTCTTGGCAACTAAGTCTTAGAAGTCTGATAGTGTGCTCTCTCTGCTGAGTTGGGGAGCGTGGATGGAGGCCATGTCACAGGCTGGTAGAGAGCGCAGTCTCTGTCCCAGATGCTCCCGACCCTTTTGCGCTGGGCCAGTTCCCCAGCTCTGAGACGGTCAGGCTCAGGTAACCTGTGTGTCAGGTGGATTCCCATGTAGGTTTGCCTACAGCAAGGCGATAGCACCATGCACACACAAGTGGCAGACTTCTGAATAGTATACTTCTCATTATACATTAAGACATTAAGAATTTATCATTCTGAGTCTTTTTTTTTGAAAACGAGACTCACCCTGTTGCCCAGTCTGGTGAAGTAGCACGATCTCAGCTCACTGCAACCTCCGCCTCCCGGGCTCAAGTGATTCTCCTGCCTCAGCCTCCCCAGCAGCCGGGATTACAGGTGAGCGCCACGACGCCCTGCTAACTTATTTGTATTTTCTGTAGAGATGGGGTTTCACCTGTTGACCAGACAGGTCTTGAACTCCTGGTCTGGTGATCCACCCGCCTCGGCCTTCCAAAGTGCTGGGATTACAGGCATGAGCCAGTGCCTGGCCTGTATACATTCTGCGTTTATCCATCTTGAGCTGGGAAGATAAAATGTCTAGTCCAATTGAAAATGATTTTTAAAGCTAGCACTCATTAGAATAATAATTATGAAAGAAACAGAACTGATATTGTTACATTAGTATTCCCACCACATTTGGTAATTCCTTTACTGAAACAACAAGTTATTTGAGAATCCTACCATATTCAGGCACTGGAAAACAATCCTTCAAAAGACATTGTGCTTTGGCCACCTACGACTAAGTCAGGTGGGAACTACAAGGAGATATTTTGTGAAAATACGGGACACTTCTTGGTGTTTTTGCACTGAGACAGTGGAGTGGGAGAGGGGTTGAGTGCAGGAGAGAGAAGTAGTGCCCGCTGTTGCAAAAGGACTCTGGGAGCCAGGAAGACCGGGCCCCAGGTACTTCTTCAGAAGGAGGGTACAGCTGCGGAAGGCGGGAAGGACTGGAACAGGATCTCCCAGTAAGGGCCACAGTAGCCACGAGGATCACACCAGGCGCGCGGAAGTGGGTCTGTGGACAGGGATCAGGAGCGGCCCGCGGGGATGGAGGAGGCAGAGTAGTGCCCTGGGGAAAATCTTGTATTGTCCAGTTCATTTCTGCATGTCTGTGAGATCTAACTGGTTCATTGTGTGTTCGCATTCTGCATTTCCTTACTTACATTCTGTCTCAGCCTGTCCATAATTGAAAGAGGGGTTTTAAAGCCTCCCATTGTTAATGTAGAACTGTCTATTTCTCCCTTCAGTTCTGTCAGAATTTGTACCTCTAACCTCTTGTTTCATTCCTGCCAGAATTGCATCGCAAGTAATTCCTTCTGATTGATACAGGCCTGCTTTCCTCATTTTAGAAGCTCTTGGTATTTTTTTTTTTTTTTTTTTTTTTTTTTTGAGATGGGAGTTTCGCTCTTGTTGCCCAGGCTGGGTGTGGCGTGATCTCAGCTCACCTGTCTCCACCTCCCAGGTTCAAGCCGTTCTCCTGCCTCAGCCTCTCCAGTAGCTGGGATTACAGGCATGCGCCACCATGCCCAGCTAAGTTTGTATTTTTAGTAGAGACAAGGTTTCTTCCATGGTCCAGGCTAGTCTCGAACTCCGGCACCTCAGGTGATCTGCCCCCTCAGCCTCCCAAAGTGCTGGGATTACAGGTGTGAGCCACCGCGCCTGGGCACTTCTGGATATCTTTTTTAAAAAAACATGATTTCCTGGTGGGATGGTAGTTTTAAATATCTTGCAATCTGTAATGATTCATTGGAATCAGGGTAAGTTACTGTGCAGTGGAGAGAATGAGCTGATCTAGCATGTAAGAAATAGGATTTTAGTGGAGCACTGATTACACTGGTATTAAGTATCATTTATTACAATAGGAATGAGTCACTTTTGTGTTCCTCAAGATGAACAGATTCCTTGAGTAGAATTAAATAGTTTCTGCAAAGCATGCTCAGATGTCTCTGAAGAAAGCAAACAACCATAGTAGCCAGAATAAACCCATTATCAGAGAAGAAAAGAAGTATGATTGGTTGGCGCCAGCAGGACTCAGCAGAAACAATTTGTTGGCATGAAGTCCAAAGCGCAATTGTTGCAAGACTGAAGGATTGGGATTAATGATGTGAGTGAAACACCATTACCATGAGCCAGTTAAAGGGGAAGTTGCCTTGTGAAGTTTTTAAAAGGACAGCTATGAAATTTTTGTCAGCAGGGTTGTTAGATTCAGAGTGGCAGCAATGGTCTGGGAAAAAAAAAAAAAGTATAAGAAGATTTTGTTTTCTATTAGGAAGTGATAGATCGAGAACATAAGAGTCAGAAGCAATAGGATGAGGCCAGGTACAGTGGCTGCCTCTCCATACCAGGTACTTGGGAAGCTGAGGTGGGAGGATCATCTGACCCAGAGTCAGGGTTGCAGTGAGCTGTAGTTGTTCCACTGCACTCCAATGAGCAGCAGAGTGAGACCTAGCTCTAAAAGAAAGGAGTAATGGATGACAAAGCCAGAAGCTAACATTAATATTTTAGAGTGGCGTCAAGTAGAATAATAGCCAGGAAAGGGTGTTGAGTCAGAATGTTAATCCTTAGCTCCAGGTGCTGGGCAGAGCTATCATGCAAGAGTCAGCATCTTCTGCAGCACACCTAAGAATCAGTTGAAGATTTCCAGGGAGGCCGGGCGCGGTGGCTTGCCTGTAATCCCAGAACTTTGGGAGGCCGAGGCGGGGATCACAGGTCAGGAGATCAGGCCATCACAGCTAGCATGGTGAAACCCCGTCTCTACCAAAAATACAAAAAAATTAGCCAGGCGTGGTGGCAGTGCCTGTAAGTTCCCAGCATACTCAGGAGGCTGAGGCAGGAGAATGGCTGAGGCAGGAGAATCAGGTGAACCCAGGAGGCGGAGCTTGCAGTGAGCCAAGATTGAGCCACTGCACTCCAGCCTGGGCGACAGGCGAGACTCCACAAAAAAAAAAAAGATTTCCAGTGGAATGGGTGCTCCAGAGTCAGGAGAAATTTATGTCTTTTGAGCACTAAGAAATGATTAACCTAAGGATCCATGCTTTGGGTATTACTGCTGCGTCAGTTGTGCAGTATCTGATAAGTCCATTTCTCGAAGATCAAACATAGTTTATCTCAGGTCTTTCCCAGAACACTAAATCTCTTGTTGTGGATCATAGGTGAGTGGTTTGGAAATGCCAGATCACTATCTGTTGATGATAAAGTGGAGGTATTCTGCTGATGCCTACAATTCTTACGTCATATTTCATCATCATTGTAATAGGACCAAATCAAAGATTGGTAGTGAAATTTTCAAATACATGGACGAGGCATTTTTTTCACCCAGAGACAGGGTGTTGCTATGTTGCCCAGGCCGGGTCTGTGTGTTCACAGGTGCAATCATAGTGCAGTACAGCCCCAAACTCTTGGCGTCAAGCAGTCTCCCACCTCAGCCTCCTGAGCAGCTAAGACTACAGACGCAAGCCACACACCCAGCGGCCTTGTATTGAATTCATGAGGAGTAACCTGTTGGTCCCAGAAGGGGTTGATCTTATACACACTGAAGCTAAAAGTAAGATTTTATTTTATTTTTATTTTCAATTTGAGCAGGTACTGTTTATTAACTGACCAACAAAGAAAAATAATCATGGAAGGCACATAGTTCAATTCTTCAGCAGCCTGTTGATCTGGTCCTCCTGTTGTAGCATCTCCCTTCTACAAAAAATGGGTCTTTGCTTCATTTCCACCTCGGCCAGAAGATAATTTGAAGGAGCCACAGGAAGTTATTTATTTTCTTTGCAGAGTTTTCCAACAGTATAGATCCCATGAATCAGATCCTTCATGCAGATGATGCCATATTTACCAAGAGATCGAGCAATAGATCGAGCAATCAAAGCATTGTCTGTCAAAGCAATTCACTTCTTATTGATTTTGCCATAACCACGCTTGTAGATTAGTTCATTTACTGACTTCAGATTTGGGTACCCCCATGCAATGTATGGCTCTACAATCCTCAGCATGCTAACTGAAGCCTTGTTGAGCTTCACAAAGGTTCCATTGAAGATTTGATGAAGGCGAAGAAGCTGCAACACCTTTTGGACCTTTGGGCTCACACCATTGATACCTCTGATCCTGATGACAAACACCAATGTGGGTTCTGCAGGCACATAGAAGTTGCCAGCTTTTCTTGCCCCTCTCGCTAGTAGAATTTCAGTTCTATATATCTGCCTATTCGCTTTTTCACAGATACGCTTCCGCCTTGTCTTTTGAAGCATCTTTTGGGCAAACTTATTTCTCAGGCGCTTGATCTTCAGTTCTGTGAAATTCCTTTTCTTTTTCTGAAGGTTTTCTG